TATTGGTGTCATTTGGTTTTGTTATACATTTCAATATTGCTCCATTGTTTGGGTTTAATAATAATAATAATTATTATTATTATTATTTAATAATAACAATTATTATTATTAATAATTATTTTTAATTTAATAATAATAATAATAATTATTATTATTATTTAATAATAACAATTATTATTATTATTATTATTATTCCAGTTTTTTCTTATTATTTATTATGCAAAAAATCTTATTATAACCAACAGTTGCTATGCTTTTGATGAAGCACATTAGGCTAGAGCAATATACACTTACCTACACACTCACACGCATACTTATACATAAATATGCACACAAAGTATACGCACATATACACACATACACGCATAGACAGACACGTATACATGCATACAGACGCATGCACTCATACATGCATATGCAATTATGCATGAACGTTTGTGTGTATTTCGATGTAGGTCTCTGGGTGTGTGTGTGTGTTTGTGTGAGTGTGTGTGTCTGTGTGAGTGTGTGTGGGTCTCTGTGTGTGAGTGTGTGCCCTTTTAACGCAGTGAAAATTTTATTCTGGTAGATGTTCATAATGATGTTGCTGATTTTTTATATCTTATCTTTTGATGATATTTTTGTTTTGTTGTTGTTGATGATGACGACGACGATGATGATAACATGGTCTTTCGTTGATGATGGTTATTATGATGCGAGGTTTTCGGCTTTGTGATCATGTTCTGAATAATTTTAAACGTTTAACGTTTTTTTTAATTAACTCATTTGAAGATTCTTTTACTTTAACTTTTACGATCCTTTACTCTATATAAACTAATCTATAGTTTTACTCTATATAAACTTTCGTATATACTATATTAACAGCTCTATTTTTATTTTCATTCTCTTTGTGATTTTTTGTGTATTACATTTTTTATTGTTTACCACCGAGACACTTTTAATATATGGTACTCTTGTTGTTGTCGTTGTTGCTATTGTTATTGCTGTCGTTATTATTATTATTGTTGTTGTTTTTCGAATTTCTTACGAGTATTGTTGTTTATTTATCTTTGTTTTTCTCATGTTCTGCTGTTGATGTTATTGTTATTGGTGCGTTATAGACAACAATGATGTTATTTTTGTGTTTTTGACGTTTTGTTTCTGATGTCAATTTTAGTTGCTCTATTGATGTGTTGTTGTGTAGATATAAACAAAAGTGTTGTTTTTATTATTATTTGGTTTTGTTGTTGTCGTTTTTACTGTAGGCATTGATATGATATTTCATTGTTGTTAAAAAAATGTTCAAGTTATTTTTGTTCTGTTGTTGCTGATGAGTTACAGATGCATTCGTTCATAAATGCATGCAATGTATGTATGTATATATTTGTTTGTTTGTATATATTTGTTTGTTTATATATATATATATATATATGTGTGTGTGTGTGTATGTGTGTGTGTGTGTGTGTGTGTGTGTGTGGGTGGGTGGTGTGTGTGTGTGTGTGTCAAACCTTGTGTATTTGTCTAAAGTTGTTGAACGCATAGTCTTTCAGCAACTTTTCACTCACTTAAACACCAATAGTCTTTTTCCGGCTTACCAATCTGGTTATTGTCAGTTCCATTCGACTGAGATGGCATCATTGGTTGTTTCTTCTAATTTGTATTCCTCCACAGATGCTCCGATGTGTCGTTATTCGCTCTTTTAGATATGAGCTCTGTCTTTGATTGTGTCGACCACTCATTACTTTAAGCAAGCTCCATTATTCATTTGGAGTATCGTGTGTTGTTCTTCAATGGATTGAGTCACACCTTTCTGGTCGTACGCAACAGATTCTCTTCAGATCTAACTGTGTTCAAGCATGTTGAAACCTCTGGTTGGTAGGTTCTCGGTCCTCTCCTATTTGTGTTGTACACTGCAGATGTTTTCAAAATCATTGACAGATATAATTTCAAACATCACGGTTTTGCTGATGATATTCAGATCATTGTCTTTTCGATGATATTTTATAAGCTTTTAATTTAATGTGTTCAGATTTCTTTCCAACTATTTTATGATGTAATTTTTCAATTTTAGATGGCTGTTCGGTTTGAATATTATCGTCACTGATACCGCTATTATTTAAACGTAGTTTTTTTTTGTTTCCACTAAACGGTAGTTCAGTATTCTCAACAGGTGAGTTTACAGCTTCAGACCAGAGCTTTTGCCGACTGTGCTTTAAAACTTTCTTTACTAACACGCGCAGCATACGAGGGCAACTACTCACGTAAATTGAACATTTATCCAATTGATTATTACCTTTTAAATATTTTAGTAACATAATACATTCAACTAATTTGTCTTTCTTAGACGAACCACGAACTTTTCGGGTTTATCGATTTTCAATAGTTCAATATCAGTTTTTAAAATTTTAATAGAAATAACAATATCCTCATGTATTAAAAAAATCGCAAGTATTAGAATTTTCGTCTTCTAGCGAACTTAAATTATTCGATAAAAATGAAGCAATTCATTTATAACTGGTCTTTAGCTCGCCATCGTCAACAATGTATACATTAAACTTGTTTGTTTCATGTCTGTCTGCTATATCTCTCTTTTTCAATGCTTCAACATGTTATGTTGCATGTCCTTGACATTGACTGTTTGAACTTTTACCTTAGACGGTGATTGTGAAGATGAGAATGATGATGATGGTTGTGATGAAGGAAGTTAGGGTGGTAAAAATGTTGGTACTCAAATAATGCTGGCTGGGATGGGTGGGATTATTTAGAGAGAATAGAACTAATCATAATAATAATTAACTTCTCCCTAATTAACTATAGAGGAACTAACAAAATATACACACACACTCCACACACACACACACATGGGAAACACGTGAATTCACACATGACACATACATTACATGCGATAGATGAGGATCTCTTTGCAGTCGAATGCGGTCACTGCGACAGCACGACCAGGCGTCTTAACCATTACACCACCACCTCACTCCCCATTGAATAATATCATAAATGTGTTTTCATTGTTTTTGTTAGTTATAAAGGATAACGTGATTATAGCTGTGTGATTTGAATAGCACTTGGCTGATAATATTGATGATCACGATTAAAACTGCGTTGGTTTGATTGTTAGGATTTTTGTATTAGCAGCCAACAGATGAAATAGATATAGATATATAATAATGCGGATGCTGACGATGATGCTGTTGATCATGATGACGATGTTTATCGCCATGCTTATATGATAATTATGACAAATCTCATCTCAACATGTGATGTTGAGATGAGATTTTTATTTACATCTTTGTTGAACATGTTGTGCTGTCTCTCTCTCTCTCTCTCTCTCTCTCTTTTCTCCTTTCTTACTCTCTAATAAATATTTATGCGTATATATTTATTTTTATTTTTTTTTGTTGATTTGATTATTTACTCATTTATAATGAATGTAAAGAGTGGATTAGATAAATATGATAGATAAATATGTCCTGTTAACAGATAAGCAAGCACAGTCCGCTTGCAATTATTACATTTTATACATTAGTTATTTTATCTTTTGTAATCAGTTCATCATCGTCTTCACGTCAGCGTTATCATCATTTATGTCAGTAACACGTGTGCTCAACATTATCTTCATCATTCTCAACATCTTCGTCATTCTCATCGTCATCATCTTCATCATTCTCGTCGTCATCATCTTCATCATCATCATTCTCGTCGTCGTCATCTTCATCATCATCATCATTCTCGTCGTCATCATCTTCATCTTCATCATCATTCTCTTCGTCATCATCTTCATCATCATCATTGTACATTTTATCACCATTCATGTCAGAATCAAACAACTTCTTCTTCATCATCACGAATGATTGTATATTCCTCACTAACTGATGGTTCTTGTTTATATTTTTGATCCTGAATTCAAGCAAGCCAAGCAGTTACAAAAGAATGATTTATAGATTGTTTTAATGTTGATAATAAAAAGGATTGATAATATATATATTGTTAATATTATTTAAAAATATTATCATAATAATATTAAAATCTTGAGTTAATAATAAATTTCCTATTGATACGTTTTTTAATGGTGTGAGAGTATTCAGAAGTTTCTCAATTGGCGGGCATCAATATATCACTGATCATGAGTAAAAATATCAATGTCAGTATTTTAATTTATGATTCTCAAACAAATAGTCTATTGTTACTTTAGAAAATGTTGTTTGAGTAAATAAGAAAATTAGTAAATAAATAAATAAACAAATAAATAAATAAACAAATAAATAAATAAATGTGAATAAATAATAAACGATTGTGTATGACGTGATGGCTTTTTGATTAAGGTGCCTGAATCTACCATGTCAATTACCAAGTTCGAAAGCAATTGGATCCGCATCTGTCACATGCAATATGTGTGTGTGTTTGATGCTTTTCTTTGTACTTGTATGTGTGTGTGTGCGTGCGTGTGTGTGCGTGCATGCGCTATGTGTTTGCTGTAGGTACTTTTAAGAAAATTATGATGATAGTATTGAAATAAAAAGTTAATAAAATTTATGTATGTATATTAATGTAGATAGATTATTTTAACCATTTCTTTGTTTGACTTTGGTGCCTTTTAGTTTTTATGCATGCATGTTATCATTTTCTCTTTGTCTTGTAGTATATTTTCTTTTGTCTTTCAACAATTCACACGGGCAGTCCGTCATTTTTTTTGTGTGTTTGTCACGATATTTGATCATTATTATCGTTTGAGAGTTTATATGTGTAGTGCCTTTTATAAAACCTGATGTTTCCTCTATGCAAATGTAGTTAGTCTGAATATTCATTCCTATTTATTGCAACCTTGTCTGAATTTTTCTCTCTCAGTTGTATTTGGTTTAATTTATACATTTTTTTAATGATTTGTTTATTTTATCTGACTTTGCTGTTAAACTATTCATTTGTCAATATAAATTGCCTAATTATTTTTTTTTTGCAATATTTGTTGCAGATATATTATAGTTATTTAAAAAAAAGAATTGTAAATAAAAATGGACGCGCTGACAGCGGAAACCAACATCAACAGTCTATGCAACAACAACAGCAGCAACAACAACGACCTATCAGCCCAGACCAGTTTCCACGACAACTACTTCCAACAGCAACACGAGGCGCTGATGTTTTTCAACGAGTATGATGATTTCACTGCAGATTCCCTGTCGCAACCGCAAAATCACTTCTCCGCCGACGTTGATCTCTCCAGTGATCATCTCCAGCAACAACAACAACAACATGAAATCTATTCGCCGTCAACATCGAGTGTAACAATGTCATCATTACCATCTCCTCCCATTCTGACGTCATCGTTCAACGTTGCGTCATCTTCATCAACGTTTCCGTCATTGCAACAACAACAGTTACAGCAACAACAACAACAGTTGCAACAACAACAGTTACAACAACAACAACAGTTGCAGCAACAACAATTACAACAACAACAGTTACAACAGCAACAACAACAGTTACAGCAACAACAACAACAACAACTGCAGCAACAGCAACAATTCCAGCAGCAGCAACAACAACAGCAGCAACAACAACAACAGAACAACGACATTTCCCAACAACCGGCTGTTGCCAGAGTTGCACCCATGGCGAAGTTCAATGAAAACCAAAACGTCATCTTCAACAACATCAACAACAGCCTCTTCAACGGCAACTGTGCCCAACAAAATGACTGCCTTGACGTACAGAAACAACAACTGCAACAATCTCTCAACAACAACAGCAACAACAGTTGCCTAACGACTTCCATAGCAACAGCAGCTGAAACTGCAGCTAGTGAACTCAACAAGTTGTTGCCTCCAAAAAAGCCTTTAACTCCTTACATGAGATTCAGCAAGCTGGTTTGTGTTTGTGGCTATAATAATGATAAAAAACCTAATAATGATAATAATACCAATGATAATAATAATGATATTACTACTACTATTAATAATATGAAGATGATAACTTAGCGCTATGATGAAACGCTAAATGCCATGAGGAAATATGTTAATAATGTGGATGATTATGATGAATGGGCAACTATTATTATTAGCCAAGCTGAATTCCAGACACTAAAATTCTTAACAACTAATTTAACGTTACCTGAATGTTGTCTGTAGATTTGGCAGAAAGTGAAGTTATCCAACCCTGGCATGACGGTGTGCGAAGTTGGCACCGCAATCGGACAGATGTGGCGGGAGATGTCGGATGGTGACAAGCAGACTTACAATGCTGATTTCGCTGTCGACAAGGTCGGTTGGGTGTGCCACGGTGGTGACGAAAGAGTACGACACCTTTTTTTTGTGATTTTTGGAGCCGAATGTCAGTGGTGATGAAGATGGTTAAGAAAGTTATGAAGTTGTCGGTGGTTTTGTGCGTGGATGTATGGTGATGGCGAAGATGAAATGATGATGTTGTTTTAATGAGTAACTTTGAGAAAATAGTAGATAAGTAAATAAATAGATAAATAAATAAAAAGGATTAACTAGAAAGTTATTCCTGTCAATATCTTTCTTCAAATTTGCACGAGCCAATCTTTACGATAATTACAACTGTTCTTTGTAGAAAATTTTTTAATTTTTATCATTGTCCTATTTCATTATGGTCATCATCATTCTCCCATTATCATCATCCCCTTCGTCATCATCATTCTCCCATTATCACCACTCTTCAACTCAGGCAAGATATGACGATGAGTTGCAAAACTACCTCCAAATTACTGGCCTCCAAGCGTCTGATTTGATCAAGCAAAAAACTAAAAGGTCATTAAATAAATCAGTCAATTTACTTATTTATTGGATAATTGATTAGATCAATTTGTTAAATTATTAAATGCAATTATTTATTAGTGAATTTAATTTTGTTTGAGAAGAAATTTCCAAATTGAACGAAATTATTGTTAGCTGTATTGAATTGATATCGTGTTCTTCCATTTGTTGTGCACGTCTCTGCAGTTATTCCATTAATACATTAATACAATAATACAATACATTATTATTTGTTTATGCAGTTATTCCATTAATACAATCTCCTACACGTTAATTTTTGTTATAAAAAATCCGGATGAAAAACTTTAACACACAATTAACCTATTTGTTGAAGGTCTGCAAGAAATTTCAAGCGGTTTCCAGTCAATCAAATTGCATTATCATTAATGCATTGGACATACATACAGAATAAAAATTATTGTTTGCATAACAATAAGCAGACTAGTTGTTGGACACAAATATATGTAATAGACCATAATTTTTACAATATTCTATAAATTCTACCGAATGTTTGGCGTTAATATATATATATATATACATATCTATATATATATATATATATATATATATATTATATATATATATATATGTATATATATACGTATATATATATATATATATATATACATATATACATATATATATATGTGTGTGTGTGTGTCTGTTTGTGGGTTTGTTTATGTAGTGTCTGTTTGTGTGTCTGTTTGTGGGTTTGTTTATGTATACAAATTCATCAAAATACAATTGGATAGCCTTACATTGCTGTTTAAAAAGTGCAAGCTCATTTTTAGGTCCTAACTGTAATAAGGAGTGTATTCGTCAATAAATCAACGAAGCAACCTCATTAAAAGACAATGTTTAAAAGAAGATAAATGAATAAAAAAAATGAAATACCAAAATGAGAGAGTTTAACTAAATGGAACCGAAAACAGACAACATTTCAATGAAAAGTATAAGAATGCAAAAAACAATTAGTTTGCTCCATTTCATGAGATGCACTTGGAATCTTCCTCTCCCTCTTTCTTTGCGACACGTCACCAGTCTCTAAAAAGCTATTGCTGATCTAATTTTTTCAAGCTTACCTATTTAAAATAATGTTGGATAGGTGAACACGATCTTTTGATGACCGAGAAATACTTCTCACAGATAATTTTAACAAATAGCGATTATGATATTATTGAAACAAATTCATTTCGAGTACAGAGTGAATCAACCTGCTCTTAATATCACTAGTTAGGTTTGTTAAGATAATTTTCTTTCATTATCAGAACGACTAAAGAGAAGACGCCACGGCAGTCTAAAGTTCAAATCCTGTCGCCATCTCGTGTAGAAAAAACATTTGCATCGTCATCATCGACTCTGCCATCACCACAGGCTACCACACCAACCTCAAGCACGGCTGCTACAGTGGCTACAAACTCTGTAATGGAGATTGCTAGTCAGATGCTGCTGATGAACAATGGCAACATATCTGATGACAGTTTGAGACTGCAGCTGTTTCCAAATGTGTCCTGGAGTGCTGGGGTTGAAAATCCATTTGAACAACAAAATGGTTGGTTGGTTGTTCTTTTCAGTTTGTTGCAATCATGTATTGAGATGTTGGTGATTCGAATAATGAATTATCTTTTTTCTAATTTTGAATCAATTTTTATGATTTATTAACAGTAATTGCTTAATGTTTTTTTCTGTGCTGTATTAAATTTTCAATTTTATATTTTATTTATTGCTTTCCAGACATCAACTGCAGCAGTGCTTTGACGCCCTGCAACAACACCGACATCAAACCAACAATCTCATCGTCAGATTCTTCATCACTCATCAACAACATCAACAACAACAATATTAACAACAACAACAATATCAACAACAACAGCAATATTAACAACAACAACAATATCAACAACAACAGCAATATCAACAACAGCAATATCAACAACATCAACAATAACGTAAATATTCACAATGACATCAAAATCGAACCACTGGATTCCTTATTGTGGAATGATTCAAACTGCATTGAGTCCATTCTTAACACCAACAACATCAGCGGCAACAACAACAATACTAATAATAATAATAATATCAACAATGACATTAACAACAACATAAGCAACAACGTTGCAACAAACTGCAATGACGTCAATAGTAGCAATGCTAATTTAGGAGGAGTTGACCTAATGAGCATGTTTAATCTGTGAGTCCTTCATAATTACAACCTTTTGTTATTGTTGATGTTATCATTATTATTGTTTTTTTGTAATGATGCTGGTGATGTGATGATGATGATGAGGACATTTGATTATTTCATAACGATGACGATGCTGATGATGACAACAGCAGAATGTTGCATTAAACTGGACAACATAGATGACCTCTCTCTGAAGATGATTCGAGTTGGACTATTATGTAAACTCGGCATGAAACTTTATTCATGATTTTTATTTTCTAATACATCAATGTGTCATACTACTTGGTCACATCAGATATACCAGTTCACAATTTTCACCAAATCAACAATCCTATCAGACTCACTTTTTTTCCTCAAGGCATTGCAACTAATTACCTGCTAATGAAAAGGCGCAAACCAGACATTTTTTAGAAAAAATAAAATAAAGTCAACTCTTCTGATAAATAAATGTGTGTATGTAAGTGCGCATGTGTGTGTATATATGTGTGCGTGTGTGTGTATGCGTATGCGTGTGTGGTGTGTGTTTCAGTGTATATGTATATTGGTATAAGTTAAATTTTTTAGCAATATATCTAATATACAACTTTGTGCTTGCGTCAGATACACTAATGCCAGAGGAACGTCACCTTGGCAGAGAGAGTTTTTTATTATTTCTGCAACAGTTATAGGTAGATAGTGTTCGTACCATTTTAACTTAATAGGATTAATCAGCCGACTTTTATTCAACAACGAACGTACATATCTTGTATGCCTGCATACTTCGCCTGTCTTGAAAGCGAACATTTTACGTTTAGTTTTTAACAGTTTTTATCAGACAAGTTTTACACGTTTTAGCTGGATTTTTAAATATTTTTCGGTTTAACTGTCAATCTGTTCGATGGGGTTTTAAAAGTCTACCGACTACAATTTCGCACATTGTTTTTATTTTTTTATTTTCAATTTTTGAATGTCAAACAAGTTTTGAATTGTATCTGCAAAAATTGATAATAACGTACGATTAAACCTCTTCTTCCACCAACAACTACTCGACAGTATGCGCCAGGACGTAAGGGATGAGTTTGCTGCGTCGACTTCAGCTACTTCTACTTCCTGCTCGGTCAGCTCGACTGACGTCTTTCAACGCCAACAGCCAGGTCTTGCAAACACACAACAACAACAGCATCAACAACAGCAAACACAGCGGCAACGACAACAATTACCGCAGCAACTACAACAACAACTTCAGCAGCAGCACCAACAACAGCCTCAAACTCAACAATCTCAACTGGCATTGTCGTCAGCTATACAGAACCAGCCGCTGAGTAGCCAAGTACAGTCGTTGATTCGTGCAAATTCCATGCCAACAGGTCAGCAGCAGATGCAACAAAATATTCCTGGGGACTTTTCGTCGTTGTTGGAACCCGGAGAAGTTCTTTTGCCCATGGCCATGAGATCCAACTCTGTTCCTGGGGTATTTGCATTTGCATTGTTTCTATGTTAGGTTGTCTGTTTATGTTTGTTTGTTTGTTTACCAAATTGTTTGTTTGTTTAATTGTTTGTTTGTGATTGATTGTGATTGACTGTGTTTGTCTGATCAATAGTTTGTTACATTTTTTTGCTTTTGTTTGTCTATCCTTGAGAATATCCTTGGCGTAATTTTAAAATTTTGTTAATGTTTCGATGTTGACGAATTGTAAAAAATTGAGGTCTTGATGTTAGCAGATTGTGAAAAATTGATGTTTTGTGTTAGCAGGTTGTACAAAATTTTATGTTTTCATAGTAGCAGATTGTAAAAATGTGATGTGTTTTGATGTTGCCAGGTTGCAGACCCAGAGAAGCAACTGCTGCGAAGTGCATTGGCAGAGAAAGTTGACGAAATACAAAAACTAATGAAGGAGTTGAGCCAGGCCTATAGCTTGATAAACCAGCTGAAGCAACAAAATGATTTCTACCATCAACATTGGAGTCAGTATCAAATTCAGATGCAACATCAACTTCAGCAACAGCATCAACAATTACAAATGCAACTACAGCAACAGCAGCAAGAACAACAACAACAGCAGTTGCAGTATCAAATGCAACAATCTCAGATGCCAATTTCACAACAGTCTCAGCAACTTTTGCAACAACAACTCTTCTCCCAGCAGCAGCAGCAACAACAACAGAGACAACTGTTGCAAAATATTCAACAGCTTTCTAGTACTCAACAATCGCTACAACAAAACTTGCAACAACACCAGCAGCAACTACAGCAACAACAGCAACAACAGCAACAACAGCAAATTATTGCTCAACAAGTCAACAACAACAGCAGTAGCAACAATAGTAATACATCATTGCCTCTGACTGACTAAGAGTATATCATTCTAGGTAATTTTGGTAAGAAGAATTAGACAACGATGATAACTATGGCTGTATCATCCCAATGATAAATTATTACTATTTTTAATAATGTTATTGTTATTCTCGTCCTTATCATCACAACTTATG